ACAGTATATAATTTTTTTAACATGCTGTCAAATTAGGTTTGCTAGTATTTTGTTGTGGATTTTTGCATCTTTGTTTACCAGGAATTTTGGCCTGTAATTTTCTTTGCTTGTAGTGTACTTGTCTGCCTTTGGTAGCAGATGCTGACCTTATAAAATTAGTTTGTAAATGTTCCCTCTCATTCAATTTCTTTTTGAAGCTTGTGAGAAAGATTAACAATTTTTCTACTGTAAATGTTAGTTAGAGTTTGCCAGCGTATCCATCAGGTCCTGGACGCTTTCTTTGTTAGGAGTTTTTGATTACTGATTTCATCTCGTTACTCTTTATTTGTCTCCTCTTAGTTTCATTTTTTTCATGGTTTAATATTGTTGGATGTATGTTTCTGGGAATTTATCCATTTCTTTTAGGTTATCCAATTTGTGCATAATTGTTCATAGTCTCTTATGATCCTTTGTTTTTCTTTGTTACCAGTTATAATGTCTTATAATTATACTTATCTGAGAGTCATCTCTCCTTTTTTCTGTCATATAACTGAAGATTTGTCAGTGTTATCTTTCCAAAATCAAATCTTAGTTTTGTTGATCTTTCTGTTGTCATTCTAGACTCTATTTCATTTTTTTCTGCTCCATTCTTTCATTTTCTTCTGCTGACTTTGTATTTAGTTGCTCTTTTCTAGTTATTTGAGGTATAATATTAGATTGTTCATTTGAAATATTTCTCTTTTTTTAAATGTAGGCACTTGTCGCTATAAACTTCCCTTTTAGAACTGCTTTTACACCATCTCATAAGGGTCATATGTCGTTTTTCCATTTTCACTTGTGTCAAGATACTTTTTCACTTTCTTTTTTGATTCCTTCTCTGACTCAGTATTCAGGAATATGTTGTTTAATTTCTACGTATTTGTAAATTTGGGATTTTTCTCCTGTTATTTATTTCTAATTTAATACCATTGTGAGTGGAAAGGATGTTTAATATTATTTCAGTCTTCTTAAATTTGTTAAGGCTTATTTTGTAGTCTAACATAGGATCTATGCTAGAAATTGTTTTATGTTCATTTTTAAAGAGTATATATTCTGTTGCAGTTCATTGAAATGTTAGGTTTATATTTGATAGGTTCATTTGGTCTATAGTGTTGTTAGTGAGTGTTGTTAAAGTTGGCTGGGTCCTTACGGTTTTCTGTCTGGATGACCTGTATATTGTTGAAAGTGAGATGTGGAAATCCTCTACCATTACTATATTGCCGTCTGTCTCCCTTCAAATCTGGTAATATTTGCCTCATGTACTTAGGTGCTTCAATGTTGGCTGCATATACATTATAATAGTTATATCCACTTGATGAATTGAAACCTTTGTAATTATATAATGACCTCTCTTGTGACAATTTTTGACTTAAAGTCGATTTTTTTTGTTTCTTGTTGTTTTTAATTGTACTTTAGGTTCTGGGGTACATGTGCAGATCATGCAGGATTGTTGTGTAGGTACACACATGGCAACATGGTTTGCTGCGTCCATCTCCCCATCACCCACATCTGGCATTTCTCCCCATTTTATCCCTCCCTGATTTCTTTAACACCCTGCTGTCCTTCCTTGCCCCCCACAACAGACCCCAGTGTGTGATGCTCCTCTCCCTGTGTCTTGTTTAACACCTGCCTATGAGTGAGAATATGCAGTGTGTGATTTTCTGTTCTTCTGTCAGTTTGCTGAGAAGGATGGTTACCAAATTCATCCATGTTCCCACAAAGGAAACGAACTCATCATTTTTTATGGCTGCATAGTATTCCACGGTGTACATGTGCCACATTTTCCTTGTCCAGTCTATCGTAGATGGGCATTTGGGTTGGCTCCAAGTCTTTGCTATTGTAAACAGTGCCACTATTAACATATGTGTACATGTGTCTTTATAATAGAATGATTTATAATCCTTTGGGTATATACCCAGTAATGGGATTGCTGGGTCAAATGGAATTTCTATTTCTAGGTCCTTCAGGAATCGCCACACTGTCTTCCACAATGGCTGAACTAGTTTACACTCTCACCAACAGTGTAAAAGTGTTTCTATTTCTCCACATCCTCTCCAACATCTGTTGTCTCCATATTTTTTAATGATCACCATTCTAACTGGCATGAGGTGGTATCTATCTCAGTATGGTTTTGATTTGCATTTCTCTAATAATCAGTGATGATGAGCATTTTTTAATATGTTTGTTGGCCTCATATATGTCTTCTTTTGAAAAACGTCTGTTCATATCCTTCTCCTACTTTTGGATGGGTTTGTTTTTTTTCTTGTAAATCTGTTTTAGTTCTTTGTAGATTTTGAATATTAGCTCTTTGTCAGATGGGTAGATTGCAAAAAATTTTTCCCATTCTGTTGGTTGTGGGTTCGCTCTAATCATTGTTTCTTTTGCTGTACAGAAACTCGGGAGTTTGCTTAGGTCCCGTTTGTCTATTTTGGCTTTTGTTGCCAATGCTTTTGATGTTTTGGTCATGAAGTCCTTGCCTATGCCTATGTTCTAAGTGGTTTTGCCTTGGTTTTCTTCTAGGGTTTTTATGGTGTTAGGTATTATGTTTAAGGCTTTAATCCATCTGGAGTTGATTTTAGTGTAAGGTGTTAGGAAGGGGTCCAGTTTCTGTTTTCTGCAATGCAAATTGTTAGGCAGTTTTTCCAACACCATTTATTAAACAGGGAATCCTTTCCCCATTGGTTGTTTTTGTCAGATTGTTAAAGATCAGATGGTTGTAGATGTGTGAGGTTGCCCCCAAGACCTCTGTTCTGTAATTTTGCTTGATATGTGTATAGACACCTATGCTCTTCTTTGATTACGTTTTTAATGGAAAATCTTATTCTGTACTTTCGTATTTAGCCTATATGTTTCCTTATAGCTAATGTGAGTTTCTTGTAGGGAGCATAGAGTTAGATCTTTTTGAACATTTATTAAGATTGCAGTGTTTTCTCTTTCTCCAAACACAGTAAGTTTGGACTCACGGGACTTCACTGTGCTAACCAGGATGGACTCAGTCTCCTAGCCTCATGATCTGCCCATCTCAGCCTCCCAATGTGCTAGGATTAGAGGCCTGAGCGACCTCCCCAACCAAGAAGTAACTATTATTATACCAAGGCTATCTGAAAATATCTCAATTTCACTTTTAATTAACAGCTTGACATGGCACTGAATTTTAGACTTATTACCATTTTCTCCCCGAAGTTTGAAGGTATGATATCTAACTTCCAGTACTGCTGTGAAAAGTCTGGGCACATGACTATGTTTACCAATCCTTGTAATTTGATTTTTTTTAGTTTTGCATCCTTCAAAAGAGCTCTCTGTCTCTGGTATTCTGAAATGTCCTCACGATGTTCTTTGATGTGGATCTAATTTCAACCACTGACCTAGGTACTAAGTGAACTGTTTCAAACTGGAAACTTATGCCTTGGCACATTTTCTTGAGTTAATTATCTCATGTATATCCTCTCATTTTCCATTTTCTTTTTCTTAAACTTCTAATGTTTGAATAATGAGTTATCATCCTCTTTGATTTGACCTGAAGTTTTCTTATCTTATTTCCTAATTTCTTTCACTTAATCATTTCACCCTGATTCCCTAGAAAATTTCTAAACTTTATATTATAATCCTTTTATTTATATATCAAAAACTGTTGAGCAATTCTTATATATCAGGCACTGTAAAATATTTGTTTCCCATAAAAGACAATTCCTTGCATATATCTACTATATTTGGTTTTGGCTTTCTCAATCTTTCCACTAATTTGATTTTTATTTTCTCTTCTTTAATCTGTACCCACTTGCTAGGCCCATACTTATTCTAAGTTTCCTTCCACTGATGCATTGAATAATTTATGACTCTGTTACTTCGGCACTACTTGTCCTCTTATATTAGCCTCCTCTTTCAACATGCTCTGGGTTTCCTATCAGGTGGTACCCCACTTCATTCTTTGAGACGTCTTTCCTAATTTTCACTGGGTCTGAATCAGAACTTTATCAGTAATTTTTCAGCCCTTTTTGACTTCACTTTCCTTATGGTTAATTTCACACTGAAGTTCATTATTGTTACCTTTTTTTGTATGGTTGCCATCAAGAGGCATGCTTTTCTTTGTTATTAACAAAAGCCAGTAATTAGCAACCCATTTAACTTATATGTTTTGAAGGAAAGAAACAATTTTACATGATAATTTTTCTGATATTTGGTAAATCAAGGAGACTTTTTAGAGCCCTTTCAATTCTTAAGGTGATTCTTAGCCTTGAGATTTCTGCTCTAGATTTCTACCCACTGGCTCATGGATCTGATCATTTGAGTTCTGTGATTGAGGCATCACTTTCTAATCTGGCCACTTCTGCAGAGTCAGAAACTGGCATCAAATAACATATATGCTTCCAGATTCATGCAAGTATTTCATTACGTAAATTTTTACAACTTCCTTTGTAGGAGCAAATCATTGCACACTACATTTTATTTTCTACCTATTCAAATATGTTTCAAATTATTCATTTATTCATGTATTCCAGTTATTCATTAAGTAGGGGTGTGTGTGTGTGATGTTAAATGAGTGAAAAATAATGCATACAAAGATTAGCCTTAAAATGTTGTTTTATACTATTATACATCTGAAATGAGCTGTACAGGTTCAGGAAAGGACTACATAGCTCAAAGAAGGGAGGAGTAGGGCATGATTGCTGTCTCATTTTAATGTCTCTCTGGGCCTGGTAATTAAAAGCACTTTACATTCTTCAGATAAGTGGTTTTTTTTTCCTTTTCTCAGAGTTTATTTAAGAGAAGGCTACAATTGTTGAGACTGCTTTTCTATAAGACTTGTGAAATGTGGGAGGAGAGGACTACTGTTTCTTTGTAATGTAATTTTATAAACTATTGGATCTTTTAAACAGTGTGATAAGCAACCTCAATAAATATAAAGGTAATGTAACTGAAATATAAGGAATATTATAACACATACAAAGAAAAAGATATAATTGTTGTTTTTCTTATTACAGATTCCTAACCTGAAAATCTGAAATCTATAGTGTTCCAAAATCTGAAACCTTTTGAGCAACAACATGACACCACGTGTAAGAAATTCCACTTGTGAGTACTTAACACAAACTTTGTTTCATGAGCAAAATTACTTACAATAGTTTGTAGAATTAACTTCAGGCTGTATATATAAGGTATATATAAAGCATAACAGAATTTTACATTTAGTTTGGGGTTCCATTCCCAAGATAGCTCATGTATATGTAAATATTCCCAAATCTGAAAAAATCAGAAATCCAAAACACTTCTTGGCCCAAGCGTTTTGGATAAGGATACTCAACCTGTCAGTTGAAAATAAAATATTTTTCTTTGATAGTTTTACATGCCACTAATTTTTCTGACTCCAAACAAGCCCATGTAACTATTGCTTCACAGATGTGTGATTTGAAGCTTAGCAGAAAACCTGTCTCCCACTTTTTCCATATTGTTTTCTAGGTATAATGCAGATAACTTGTAAAATAACATTCTAGGGTGTAATATATAAATCCTGCCTAAGCAAAAGCAAAAGGCGCAGGAAATAACAATAGGTATAACTTCTAACTGGCTAACTCATGCTTCTCTCCAAGGGAAAAGCCAAAAATGTGCCCCTGAGGTGGCTGGTTAGTGAATTATGGGTAAGACTCTGTGGAAGACAAGAGCAACCTAAGACAGGCACAGCTGTAGGGCAGCGACCAATAGCTAAATTTATACAAAAAGCCAGTCTGCTCCCACAAAGGAATCAAGAAGCACTACAAGCAGATGCAGCAGCAGCGTCATTGACAGGAAAGTACGTTGCAGGGAGGCCAGCAAAGGCTAAATTCATACTGGGAGCAGATGTACTAGCAGTGTAATTGACAGACAATCAAGTTGCCTGTATGCCTCCCAGGTGGATGGCTGGTTAGCCAATGACAGATAAGACTCTGAGGGATGAGAGCAACCTAAGACAGGCACAACCACGGGGATGCCAGCCAAGGCTAAATTCATACCGGGAGCAGATGAACCAGCAGGGTACTTGACAGGCAGACAAGTTGCCTGTGTGCCCCCCAGGTGGATGGCTGGTTAGCCAATGACGGGTAAGACTCTGAGAGATTAGAGCAACCTAAGACAGGCACGGGGAGGCCAGCAAAGGCTAAATTCATTCTGGGAGCAGAAGCACCAGCTGCGTACTTGACAGGCAGACAAGTAAGTTGCCTGTGTGCCCCCCAGGTGGATGGCTGGGTAGCCAATGACGGGTAAGACTCTCTGAGAGATGAGAGCAACCTAAGACAGACACAGCCGCAGGGAGGCCAGCAAAGGCTAAATTCATACCGGGAGCAGATGCACCAGCAGCGTACTTGACAGGCAGACAAGTTGCCTGTGTGTTCCCCAGGTGGATGGCTGGTTAGCCAATGACGGGTAAGACTCTGAGAGATTAGAGCAACCTAAGACAGGCACAGCCACGGGGATGCCAGCCAAGGCTAAATTCATTCTGGGAGCAGATGCACCAGCAGCGTACTTGACAGGCAGACAAGTAAGTTGCCTGTGTGCCCCCCAGGTGGATGGCTGGTTAGCCAATGACGGGTAAGACTCTGTGAAGGACGAGAGCAACCTAAGACAAGCACAGCCGCGGAAATTCATACCGGGAGCAGATGCACCAGCAGCATACTTGACAGGCAGACAAGTAAGTTGCATGTGTGCCCCCCAGGTGGATGGCTGGTTAGCCAATGACGGGTAAGACTCTCTGAGAGCTGAGAGCAACCTACGACAGGCACAGCCACGGGGATGCCAGCCAAGGCGAAATTGATACTGAGAGGAGATGCACCAGCAGCGTACTTGACAGGCAGACAAGTAAGTTGCCTGTGTGCCCCCCAGGTGGATGGCTGGGTAGCCAATGACGGGTAAGACTCTCTGAGAGATTAGAGCAACCTAAGACAGGCACAGCCGCAGGGAAGCCAGCAAAGGCTAAATTCATTCTGGGAGCAGATGCACCAGCAGTGTACTTGACAGGCAGACAAGTAAGTTGCCTGTGTGCCCCCCAGGTGGATGGCTGGGTAGCCAATGACGGGTAAGACTCTCTGAGAGATTAGAGCAACCTAAGCCAGGCACAGCTGCTAAATTCATACCGGGAGCAGATGCACCAGCAGCGTACTTGACAGGCAGACAAGCTGCCTGTGTGCCCCCTTGGTGGATGGCTGGTTAGCCAATGACGGGTAAGACTCTCTGAAGGACGAGAGCAACCTAAGACAGGCACAGCCGCGGGGAGGCCAGCAAAGGCTAAATTCATTCTGGGAGCAGATGCACCAGCAGCGTACTTGACAGGCAGACAAGTTGCCTGTGTGTTCCCCAGGTGGATGGCTGGTTAGCCAATGACGGGTAAGACTCTGAGAGATTAGAGCAACCTAAGACAGGCACAGCCACGGGGATGCCAGCCAAGGCTAAATTCATTCTGGGAGCAGATACACCAGCAGCGTACTTGACAGGCAGACAAGTAAGTTGCCTGTGTGCCCCCCAGGTGGATGGCTGGTTAGCCAATGACGGGTAAGACTCTGAGAGATTAGAGCAACCTAAGACAGGCACAGCCACGGGGATGCCAGCCAAGGCTAAATTCATACCAGGAGCAGATGCACCAGCAGCGTACTTGACAGGCAGACAAGTTGCCTGTGTGTTCCCCAGGTGGATGGCTGGTTAGCCAATGACAGGTAAGACTCTGAGAGATTAGAGCAACCTAAGACAGGCACAGCCACGGGGATGCCAGCCAAGGCTAAATTCATACCAGGAGCAGATGCACCAGCAGCGTACTTGACAGGCAGAAAAGTTCCCTGTGTGCCCCCCAGGTGGATGGCTGGTTACCAATGACGGGTAAGACTCTCTGAGAGATTAGAGCAACCTAAGACAGGCACAGCCGCAGGGAGGCCAGCAAAGGCTAAATTCATACCGGGAGCAGATGCACCAGCAACGTACTTGACAGGCAGACAAGTTGCCTGTGTGTTCCCCAGGTGGATGGCTGGTTAGCCAATGACGGGTAAGACTCTCTGAAGGACGAGAGCAACCTAAGACAGGCACAGCCGCGGGGAGGCCAGCAAAGGCTAAATTCATTCTGGGAGCAGAACCAGCAGTGTACTTGACAGGCAGACAAGTAAGTTGCCTGTGTGCCCCCAGGTGGATGGCTGGTTAGCCAATTACGGGTAAGACTCTCTGAGAGATTAGAGCAACCTAAGACAGGCACAGCTGCAGGGAGGCCAGCAAAGGCTAAATTCATACCGGGAGCAGATGCACCAGCAGCGTACTTGACAGGCAGATAAGCTGCCTGTGTGCCCCCCCGGTGGATGGCTGGTTAGCCAATGACGGGTAAGACTCTCTGAAGGACGAGAGCAACCTAAGACAGGCACAGCCGCGGGGAGGCCAGCAAAGGCTAAATTCATTCTGGGAGCAGATGCACCAGCAGCGTACTTGACAGGCAGACAAGTTGCCTGTGTGTTCCCCAGGTGGATGGCTGGTTAGCCAATGACGGGTAAGACTCTGAGAGATTAGAGCAACCTAAGACAGGCACAGCCACGGGGATGCCAGCCAAGGCTAAATTCATTCTGGGAGCAGATGCACCAGCAGCGTACTTGACAGGCAGACAAGTAAGTTGCCTGTGTGCCCCCCAGGTGGATGGCTGGTTAGCCAATGACGGGTAAGACTCTCTGAAGGACGAGAGCAACCTAAGACAGGCACAGCCACGGGGATGCCAGCCAAGGCGAAATTGATACCGAGAGGAGATGCACCAGCAGCGTACTTGTCAGGCAGACAAGTAAGTTGCCTGTGTGCCCCCCAGGTGGATGGCTGGTTAGCCAATGACGGGTAAGACTCTGAGAGATTAGAGCAACCTAAGACAGGCACAGCCACGGGGATGCCAGCCAAGGCTAAATTCATACCAGGAGCAGATGCACCAGCAGCGTACTTGTCAGGCAGACAAGTAAGTTGCCTGTGTGCCCCCCAGGTGGATGGCTGGTTACCAATGACGGGTAAGACTCTCTGAAGGACGAGAGCAACCTAAGACAGGCACAGCCGCGGGGAGGCCAGCAAAGGCTAAATTCATTCTGGGAGCAGATGCACCAGCAGTGTACTGTGTGCCCCCCAGGTGGATGGCTGGTTAGCCAATGACGGGTAAGACTCTGAGAGATTAGAGCAACCTAAGACAGGCACAGCCACGGGGATGCCAGCCAAGGCTAAATTCATACCAGGAGCAGATGCACCAGCAGCGTACTTGACAGGCAGACAAGTTGCCTGTGTGTTCCCCAGGTGGATGGCTGGTTAGCCAATGACGGGTAAGACTCTGAGAGATTAGAGCAACCTAAGACAGGCACAGCCACGGGGATGCCAGCCAAGGCTAAATTCATTCTGGGAGCAGATGCACCAGCAGCGTACTTGACAGGCAGACAAGTAAGTTGCCTGTGTGCCCCCCAGGTGGATGGCTGGTTAGCCAATGACGGGTAAGACTCTCTGAAGGACGAGAGCAACCTAAGACAGGCACAGCCACGGGGATGCCAGCCAAGGCGAAATTGATACCAAGAGGAGATGCACCAGCAGTGTACTTGACAGGCAGACAAGTAAGTTGCCTGTGTGCCCCCCAGGTGGATGGCTGGTTAGCCAATGACGGGTAAGACTCTCTGAAGGACGAGAGCAACCTAAGACAGGCACAGCCGCGGGGAGGCCAGCAAAGGCTAAATTCATTCTGGGAGCAGATGCACCAGCAGCGCACTTGACAGGCAAATTTGCCTGTGTGCCCCCCAGGTGGATGGCTGGTTAGCCAATGACGGGTAAGACTCTCTGAGAGATTAGAGCAACCTAAGACAGGCACAGCCGCAGGGAGGCCAGCAAAGGCTAAATTCATACCGGGAGCAGATGCACCAGCAGCGTACTTGACAGGCAGACAAGCTGCCTGTGTGCCCCCCTGGTGGATGGCTGGTTAGCCAATGACGGGTAAGACTCTGTGAAGGACGAGAGCAACCTAAGACAGGCACAGCCGCGGGGAGGCCAGCAAAGGCTAAATTCATTCTGGGAGCAGATGCACCAGCAGCGTACTTGACAGGCAGACAAGTAAGTTGCCTGTGTGTCCCCCAGGGGGATGGCTGGTTAGCCAATGATGGGTAAGACTCTCTGAGAGCTGAGAGCAACCTAAGACAGGCACAGCCACGGGGATGCCAGCCAAGGCAAAATTGATACCGAGAGGAGATGCACCAGCAGCATACTTGACAGGCTGTGTGTCCCCCAGGTGGATGGCTGGTTAGCTAATGACGGGTAAGACTCTCTGAAGGATGGAAGCAACCTAAGACAGGCACAGCCCTTGGGAGGCCAGCAAAGGGTAAAGTCATATCAAAAGCCATTCTGCTCCTAAGAAGTACAGGAGCAGCGATAGGAGCAAATACACATGCAAGGTAATTCCCAGGCAAGGATGTTGCCAATGAGGAGACTTGGACTCTGCATTCTGTGCATAAAACAGATGTAAAAGCTTTCTGATAATAGTATCTAGATTTTAAAGGGAAGCTTCTAAAGGGGCAAAATGTGGAAGAAAATGAAAATTAAATGCAATAGTAGATAGTTTCTATAGTATGTATGTATGTATGTGGTAGTTAAATAAAAGTACAAATAAAGCAGAATGGGAACCCCTCTCTTTACATAGATAAGCTCACCAGAGCACATCTTTGGGTCTGTAACCAGCACATTTCTGCATTTCCTTATTTTCT